CTGGGTGAGCATTTTCTGTTTTGCTGTGTTTTGGGAATAGGAGTGTCCACACCATCTCTTCCATTTACATGCCAAGTCCTGTAAATCCTGAACTAATAGCAAATCCTTAAGATAAACCTTAAGAGGAAAAATTCTCTTCTTATGGTGTGTTTGTCACTAAGGATCTCAGGACACTTTCCACGACCAGCTCTTAGTGCTTTAACACGGTACATATTTGCACCTCTACCCTTGAGAAGAGCGTATTCCTCCCCTTTCCCATTTGCCCTCCATACCCTGATGTTTGTCTTGTCCATCACAGTGACTCCCTTTATCCCCTATATCAGAGACCTTGAACTTTTCTTGAAGGCTGCCTTGTTCCAACACTGTCTTCCAGTTTCCTAGTCCCCGACATTGGCTGAGTCCCTTAGTCTAGGAGTTGCTTACATTTCCCAGAGTGCATTGATGGAAAGTGAATCTCAATGTTCTTCCAGACCCTAAGTCATACTCTCCACAGGAAGCAGTTTCAACTATTTCTTGGATATCCTTCCAGAACTTTCCCTGTATGCATATGCTCTACACACACATGCACACTCCTCTGAAAACACACTTACGAATATAGGAGCATATTGCTCATATTATCTTATGCTTTGCATTTTAATATACTTACTGATCTTTATATATAACTATATCCACACCATTCTTCTTAATAGCCACATAATTGGCATGTACTGTAAGTTATTAATCAGACCTTTATCGATTGAATTTCAGTGATTTTCTTTGTTGTTGCCATCATAAGCTATGGTACAGTGAATATCCTTGTACTTGTATTTTTGCAAACACATGGAAATATATTATAGAAAAATTTTTGAAGTAGAATTAATTGTTGGGTCAACTCTTTTAGTTTATTCATCTTCATAAATTTCACAAAATTAACCTCCCAAAATATGTACCTATTTATATGTCTATCTAAAGGATGCAGGAGTTCCCGATTCACACAACCTCACCAAGTTCATATATTATCAAACTTTTAAATCTTTACTTAAATCTTTATTCTCTGATAGGTTTAAAAAAGGTACCTCATTACTGTTTTAGCTTATTTTCTTTATTAGTGAACTTTGTATCTTTGAATATGATATATAATTTTGGTCAAGGTATATTTTCTTCTGTGAACAATGTTTTTTGCTCATTCTGAAATTAAGATACTCCTCATGCCACTGAGTCCTCAGAAAACTCATCAGGCGGTGGGGCATGAGCTCGCGTTTGTCTCCTCAAGCCCAAACAAACCTCATCACCATTCTACGCTTGCAGATGACCTCCAGGACAGCAGCAAAGGGTCACTTCTATCTTAGGCTGGCCACCTCTCTGGCACTTCCATCAGAAATGGGACAAAGACTTGCTCTACTCTCAGATTCCCCAGACTCAAAAGGGGTAAGGGTCTTAGCATCATTCCAACTGGAGCAAGACTGGGGTGGTGTGGAGAACATGGTCCTGCACACACCCTTCCTTTGTATCCAACTCTCTTCCCTCCCCTCCCTTTGCCCAGGTTTGAGGCTCTTATCTCACCTGGGCAGAGGCAATGGGAGCCTAATTTGCTCAGTTATCTTGCTGAGACCAGTTTGTTGAAAAAACAGGACTGGTGATATTATCCAAATACAGCTTTGTTTTTGTTTCCCTGTCTCTTTAAACTTTATTCCACGTGAGTAATCTTCTCCTTCACCAGGATAATTTTAGAGTCTCTCACTAAGGATCTCTGGACACCTTCTAAAACTGGCCCTTAGTGTTTAATATTTGCACTTTATCCTTGAGGAGAGTGTATTCTTATCTCCTCCCAGTCTGCCCTCCATCCCATGCTATCTTGTCCTTGTCCATCACGCAGACTCCATTTGTCCCCTGCATCAGAGACTCTGAACTTTTTGGTGCATAAATCCTCCACTATCTATAGTTCATGTGATGTACTCATTTTCTTTTGTCTATTTATCACATCCTTTTGATTTAAATGCTCCACTGAGCTTTTCTCTGTATTTCTTTGTGTCAACTCAGGCAGCCACCTTTCTCCAGGTTTCAGTAGCGCCTTAAAGGAACGGCTCTTCCTTTTTACTATGCCTCTCAGAAAAAATATTTTTCCTATATTAAAACATTTCTCTATTTCTAACATATCTCTAATATTTCTTCTATTAAAACATTTCTATGTTTATTATAAACATTTTATCTTAAGCATATGATGTAAAATATTTAACGTTTTTATGAAATGAACAAGAAATAGCCTTGTTATTATTTACCTAATAATCATACATTAATATGTCAGATTGTTTTAGAATTTGGAGGTCACCTTCTCTTGTCAACCTCTAAGTCTGCCCAGAGAATCCTATAAACAACAAAAAAAATTCTTTCAACAAGACATCGCTACTATTGCAATGGATCTTTTCAGCCATTTTCCATGTGTACTAACTAGGTGTTTTGACCCATATCACATAAATATGCAGGTGGTTTTGTTTTCCTGTTTCCATCCAGGTACCTGACAGAGTGTCTATAACGCCTCAGTGAGCATGTTCTCTTTACGCTATAACAATGAGCACAAGAAGGAGCATTTTAAACTCTTTTATGCACTAAGAGAACACTAACAGTGTGCTTCCCCACCTGGGAGTTATGTTGGCTACATCTGGAAGGGATTTGGGAAATGTAGGGGGCATATTGAGTCATTGCAATCACTGGAATCTGTTACTGGTATTTAGTGGCCCGGAACAGGAGTGGTAACTTCCTACAATGCACAGGACAATCCCATACTACAGAGAAGTGTCCGATTCAAAACGCCAATCATGCCCTGTTGAAAGACTGACTTAGTAGAGGGTAGCTTGTATTAGTCAGGATTTTTAGTTGTAAACAACACGAATGAACTTTAGCCAGTTTAAGTGGCAAAGCAACTTTATAGTAAAGGCCAGGCACTAGCTCAGAATCCTCAGAAGGTCTGATCAGGCCCGGCGGCTGAGCAGCAAGAAAAACACCTCACTGCACTGCCCTTGCTCCAGGGGAAACTTGTTGGCACTACCCTCTGCCAGTGTGTACTATCTACAGAGGATATGGCATCCTCAGAGAGCATTTTTGTCACGACTGTCATCCTTGCCAGAATAAATTGATTCTATGCAGGGTCTCTTCCTTATTTGGTGGGGCTCAGGTCACATGTCTGAACCCCAGTGACAAAGAAGGCTAAGAAATGAGTTCCTAGTCTCTACCTCGGGATCTATACCATGGATAAGCAAAGCTCACATGGCAGGAAGTCCCCCAAACACAGGACGGGTGTTCAAAAAGATGCTGTGCAGTCACTAAGTATGACAAATGTCCAGGAAATCATTAAAAGTTATCATCACATTCCCCTCCATAAAGACACTTCTCAAGTATGGACTGATAAAAATAGATTCCAACTTTGTCTTCCAGAATCTTAAAAAGATATACTTGGTTTCCCCCATACTGTTGCATAATCATTATATTTCATCTACCTTAAATACCATATATTTTTTGGATTGGTGCATACCTATCAATTGTTTCCTTTCTCGACATTGTGATACCTGTCTAGCTATATGACTTTTATCTCTTTGTCCTCTCACCTCCTACTTTATATATCCCTTATGAGCTCTTATGAAAATTTTTTTTAAATTATGGGTAAGATATCATATATGTAGTTTTAAAATTAACCAAAGAAAGTACAGTGTACTTTGGTTAAAAGACATAATCACGATGACATTGTGCCCATGTGTTTTTTGTTAGGA